CCATCGGCTCGCCATCCATCACGACCACCACCTGTGCCGACCCAAAGGGCACCGGAGCTGATATGCGCGAAGTGATTTCACCCACACCTCTCACCAGCGCCAGCAGTCAAACCATAGCCAGTAGTGGTGTATCGTCGATGGCTGCCTCGGGTGTGGTCAGCGCCGCCGCTGCCATGATATCTACCGGACCGGCAGTCGCGGCGGCCACTGGTGTCATGGGTGGCGATGGCATACCTGTCCCCCGGAGTGGTGGTAAACGGCCCGCAGCCGGTGCCGCCTGTTATCAGGTGTCGTCGGTTAATGAAAACACGGCCAAAAAGTTGTGCCGCAAATCACCCCTGTCACTCATTCAGCACACCGAGAGCCAAATTATGCGCACCTACCCGGCCGGTATGCGCATAGACTCCAGCAATTTTAACCCGGTCATTTTCTGGGCGTTTGGGCTGCAAAGTGTGGCGCTTAATTATCAAACAGTGGACTCGGCGTTGCATATCAATCAGGCTATGTTTGAGCAAAACGGGGGCTGCGGTCTGGTGCACAAACCCGGTGTGATGCGCGACAGACAGCATATGATGTTTGGCCGGTTTAACCCCTGGGACAAGGAGTTTGATGGTTTACACGCAATTAATTTGACCATCACTGTATGTGTATTTAGTATTTGGTGGTGTTTTTTCTATCTAGATTAATTTTCTGGTAATTTTTTGTGTAGATTATATCGGGTCAGTACGTGTGCCAAAATACAAACACCGGGAGCCCGCAAGTGGAGGTGGAAGTGATTGGTATACCAGTGGACTGTAGTCGACAAAGGACCAAGATGGTGCAACGCAACTCATTGAATCCCATCTGGAACGATACTTTTATGTTCAGGGTAAAAATAATTTACTTATTTTAAAATTACTTGTATAATTGCATTAAAACAATAAATTAAATGAACTTACATTAATTAAATTAATTTAAATTTATAAATTGTACACTATATTAATTATCATTATGCAATATAATAAACAACCTTGATCATTCACTAATTTAGGTAACATTCAGTGACTTAGCATTCCTGCGCTTTTCGGTCACCGATTTGGGCACAAATCACTTGACGGCACAGCGAGTCATACCATTGAATTGCTTACGACAGGGCTATCGACACCTGAGGCTTAGGAGCGCTCAGAATCAGTCGCTACCGCTGTCCACACTATTCATATACTCACAATACGAGGTAAAATAGACCTGAAAATGACCGTTACAGTTAATATTCCCATACAATTAAAATTACTTAGGGCATATGTTAGTTACTTACTTAATTATTTAATTATTAATATAATTTTGATTTCTCAACAGCATCTAGGGTAAATTTATACGTTTTATTTGATTTAAATTAGTTTGGCCAAATATTTAGCAATAAATGATATGGCAGTTAAATTGTCAGGGTATTTTAAAAAATATCTATTGATACACAATAATATTCTTATTACACATACTGTAAATTAGTTATTATAATGCAGTATACAATATTGTAAATTTTGAATTAACCAATTACTGGCAGAACTGCAGGCGGCACTTTCAATGTGCATTTTATAAATTTATTATAAATTTTATCATTATTTATTAAACATTATTAAAACTAACACAAAATTGTTGCCATGGTCAAAAACACCACGTTTAGTTTACATTATTATAACATTTTTATAACAGGAGGAGGGGATAGACATCCCGTCCACGGGTCCGGACACCGGCGACAACAGCCCGGCCTTTGGCTCAATACAAATGGGCGGCCGTCTGACGGGTCGCCGACCGATCTCTGCGGCCGACTTCGCCCGAATGGACAGCCGATTGGGCGACTCTATCGTAGGCTCAGCACCGGTCAGGCGCCGCATGTTTTTCCTGGTAATACACGGTGTGGTGGCCGACGAGCCGTCGACCATATTGAAAATCACCCAGGACAGCACAGCGCACGACGTGATTGGCCAGGCGTTGGCCAAAGCC